CACACAATACAGCATGTTCTAAACTGAAGGGGTGCAATTAATCTTGGTGAAGTCCCCTTGGAGAAATTGATCTTGAGGACTGATGCTAGCCACTAGTCCTGATCTTTCTAGAACTAGCTCTAGGACCTTTCCTTTTCCCTAGAAAATCTCTTGCTCCTGTAAAAGGGATTCAGTGATTGATTAAGCCAAAGAACACATGTGCACTGAGGGTCTTTTATGTTCAAGGCATTGTCCTGAGTGCTTTGAGAGATAGATACAACAGCATAGTGTCATATCGTAAAATCCACAGCAAACGTGCCTCCCCACCATCCTAAAATATGCGCACATTCAGTCACAGTTAATTAAGCATAATTTTTTAATTGCTTGGAAATTGAATGGTGCCTCTTGAGATGATGGAGCCTCTCAGCCTTCCCAGCACTGGGGGTTGGGAGCAGTGCCCCACATTGCTCGTTTTTCAGAGATCCCAGAGGTAGCAGTGGGGCAAGAGGCTGTGCTGCCCTCTTCCTCCTTTAAATCTTCAGTTTCTTATCTCCTTGTCAGGAGCCATTGCCCCTTGCAAGGCTGCCTGGCCTGGAGGTGACACTGTGGGGACCAGGGCTGAACCACCACTCTGGCTTTCCAGAACTCTGACTCCGGGGCACCTGGGCTTTAGGATAGGAGGTATTTGGTGAAGGGACTACAGGTAGCCTCTGTTGCTCCAGACCTCTCCTCTTTCTTGCAGGTACACTTCTCCCAGCCCAGGCCCAGAATGGCACTTCCCGCCAGCCCTCTGGCCATGGAATATGTTAATGACTTTGACTTGATGAAGTTTGAGGTAAAGCGGGAGCCCTCTGAGGGGCGATCTGGCCCCCCTACAGCCTCCCTGGTTTCCACACCTTACAGCTCAGTGCCTCCTTCACCCACCTTCAGTGAGCCAGGCATAGTGGGGGCTGCCGAGGGCTCGCGGCCAGGCCTGGAGGAGCTGTACTGGCTGGCCACCCTGCAGCAGCAGCTAGGGGCTGGAGGGTCGCTGGGGCTGAGTACTGATGAGGCTGTGGAGCTGCTGCAAGGTCAGGGTTCAGTTCCGGTTGAGGGACCCCTCGGCTACTACCCAGGGAACCCAGAGGAGACAGAAGCCCAAAATACCCAGGTGAGTGACCAGCAGCTGGTCTGAGGGGAAGCAGGTTGGACAGGCAGAGAAAGAATTTCTGGAGAGGATTGTGGGCTGGGGAAAGAGGGCAAGAATACACAAGGGCCTTTGAAATCAGATAACTTTGTTTTTTCGCTCCAAAACGGAGATGAGTAGACTGAATCACAAAGAGGAAGAAAATAAGATTAGAAGAGGATCCTGAGGGAAAACTTTGAGCGTTATAGAATGATTACGGGGAAGTAAATAGGTACACGGCGCGTGGAATGGAGCGGGGTTGAGGCTGTGGTGGAGGTTGGCCTTTTCCAAGCGCCCAATCTTCTCAGGAAGGATTGGGACTCATCCTATTAATTATAGACACAGACTGGGGCACTGAGGGCATTAGGACATAATCCAGGTCCTTTTGAGAGTCACACGGTTTCGGCCACCCGGCCGGGAAACTTGGCGCGCTGGGGGCGGGGTCTGTCTGGGCGCAGGTTCCCCGACCCAGAGTCAGATGCTGGGGGCGGCCGCAGCGGGGGGCGCAGCGTTCAGGTGCGCGATTGGCTCTCCCGCTTGCGGGAGGCGGGCTCGCGCTGATGGGCTTGCCTGAAAGGGCCCGGGGACGGAGTGGCTAGGTCTGGGGTGGGGCTGGAAGTGGGACAGGTTGAGTGAGAACAATGGGGATTCAGAAAAGGTGCGGGCCAGGGGCAGATCCTTCCTGAGGCCGGACCTAGCCTGGCGTCAGGACCTCGGCGTTCGCTGCTGACCCAGGGCCTGTACTCCTCCTCCGCAGCTGGCCGAGAGGTTTTCAGATGCGGCGCTGGTATCGATGTCTGTCCGGGAGCTCAACCGGCAGCTGCGGGGCTGCGGCCGAGACGAGGCGCTGCGGGTGAAGCAGAGGCGCCGCACGCTGAAGAACCGCGGTTACGCGCAGGCCTGTCGCTCCAAGCGGTTGCAGCAGC